TCCCTGCCATGCTCTTCAGGATGGCCCCGTGATTACGGCACTCGCTAGAGACCTAGGTTCAATTATCTGCCCTGCCACTGCCTTCCTGTGTGACCTTGGGCAAGTTACTTAGTTACTCCGTGCCTCAGTTTCCTCTCTGTACATGTAGATAACAGCACTGCTCTGCCTCACAAGGGTGCTGGGAGGATGAATGCAGTAAAGACATAAGTACTTTAAACCCTTTTCTGAAGGGAAGACCCCTCCAGACCCCTCCAGAGCAGGGTTGGTGGCCAGTGTGGGAGACCGAGCAACGTCCCAGGAGAAAACGGTACCCATCTGGTGTCTTGTGTGAGCTCGTGCCGCAAAGCATTGTGGGACACAGTAGGAAAAATGCACAAAAGAAAGTTGTGTCGCGTCACATACGATGGCCTAAGCTCAGCCATGCTTGCTATGACCTTGGCTTTTTAGCGGAAGAGCTCCCTCTGGGCAGCTTAGTCCCCCACCCCATCCTGCTAGATCATGGCCCATGTCAACTCAGCTCTGTACACGCCCAGGAAACTGTTCAAGGCATAGGCCACACCCCCAACTCCTTATAGTGCAGAGACCCCTGGGACTCTGGGACTTACCCCTCCAGAGTCCCAGGACCCCATTTGTCCAGAGCAGTGGGCATATCCCCTATTTCTCCAGACGGTAGTGAGCTTTATTTGCCACAGAGCTAGCCTGAGCAATGAGGGCACCCTTATCTCTCAGGAGCACCGAACAATGCCAGCGGGCTCCCCGGTTTTTTTCATCCCCATCTCCAGTCCCTTACACGAGACACCATCTGCCTCATTTCTGCGAGAAGCCTCCCCCCACAATGGATCCTCCCCGCTGCCGTCTCCAGCCAGAGGCCTGGAGCGTTCTCCTCTCTCCATGGCGAGTCTTGTGGGCAGGTTCAGGTTTTCCCAGGCTTGTCCCTTTGGTGAGGTAGCTGTCCTGGGAGATCTGCAAGGGGTGCTCAATGCACGCTCTCAGCTGCCCCATTGTTTTGTACCCTAGTTGTGGAGGGCACATTTCCACGTGACAGGAATGATCTCCACGGAGCCTTTCCTCTCCCCTGCCAGGTGGAGCCGCTCCCCCGTGACCACTGCAGCAGGGCCCCATTAGATATGGGCTCGGCCGCCCTGGGAACACACAGCAGCATCTGAGAAGTAAGGACACCAGGAGACGCATCCTCCTGTTGCTGGCAGTCGCCATGGAAACCATTCGCCTCTGTTTCTGAAATCAGTTGGTCTCACTCTGGTTATTTTATCTGCAGACCTGCTCTTCCCCACAAAAGCGCCTCTCTCCCCAGGGCATGAAAGGGGCAGGGCATGTCGTGGAGAACCGGTGTGTCCATCCTGACCTGGGCACGCTCCTCCCCCTGCTAAGGAAATGTTGAGCTACCCGCTGCCCTCTTAGCCTCCCCTCCTGCTAGCAACATTTCAGTTTGGGGTTGGTTCCC